TGCAAAATACATTGATTTCCCCCACATACTGTGAAATGTTAGCAACTTTTTGCCTAGAGTTTCTAATTAAAAAAACACAAACACCTAAAATTGTTTTAAGAAAGCCATTTAGATTGTGATGGATTTTATTAGTTTACGAGACCTGTATCATTTGAATTGGTGGTTTGGGCGGGTAGGCATCCATCCAGAACCCTGTGACCAAAATGTAAACGCTTAAATTTGGAAATCTCATTCTGTATAGAACTTAATAAGAATGAAAACATGGGCATGCACTTGATTTCTAGCTTTTTATACAACCATAGAAATGTATTGCATTGAGCACAAACAGTCTATGTGTGCCAGGTCAAGAACATTTTTGCATTGCCAAAAGCTTTCAAAGTGTTTTTTTGTTCACAGAATTTCACTGAGCTGTGTTTGAAACACATTCTGTATGTTTTGTATCTTTTGCTGAAACAGAACTGTTGAGGCCAGTCTGAAATTGGATGATATGAACTTGTTTAAATGAACTTAGCAAGTGTAAAACATCCTTTATCTAGGGAAAAAAGAGCCATGTAAATAAATGTAAAACTTTGTAGCATATGTAAATTTATGCTGGGCTTTCCTGCCAAGATGAAATATTTTTAGTACAAAACTGCTGAATGTAAGAAGACCATGCTAAACACATGGCATGATTTTTTTAAAATAAAAAAGTTAAAAAAAACCTTAAAAGCACATGTCTGTGCCATTGCACTCAAGTATCAGTGAGGGTATATGCCCCATTTTTTGGCTTTGGTTAAGTTGAATTTTAAAATAACCTTGGTACAAAGAAACTGCTTTTTAAAGGTAAAACAAGCATTTTTTTTAAAAAAAGAGGGTGCAATGGAGCTGAATTGTGTCCTTGGGCAGCAATTCTAGGCACACTTAACTTGAAAGCAAGCTTGATTACATCTGAACTACTCAAGTGTGTTTAGGATTGGGCTGTTGAGGGAAGGCTGCATTGTAGCCAGTAAATGCTTTCATTTTGAATGTACTGAGTAAATAGCAGAGACAAACCATTATCAGAAATTTAAATACCCACAATGGTAGTAAGTGTAAAATAAAGATCTGCCAAAACCCCATCTTTTATTTGTGACAGTCTAATCTTAGTTGTGACTCAGGTCAGGTTGGATATTTTATTTGGTTTAAGAGTATGCATTTGAACTCATTACCTTTCCTAGCAGCGTTGATGCAATTAAGGGTTGTATACCATGTTAATCACACTTGAGTAGATCCATTGGAATTAATGGGCATGACTAAATCAGGTCAATTAATTGCAGTGGATCTGCTGTGTAGAACTTAGCTCTCTCAGGCCTGTAGTTCAAATATCTCATGACACACTTGAAAACCAATTTTCAATTTCTGCCAGCATCCAAGAATCTACAGAATTTGATATAATTTCTTAAATTGTATGTGGTGCATGACTTGGTAGCAACGGAAATCTTAAATTCCTTCCATGATGAACATCTGGTGGTGATACCAAAGGTGGATTTCTACCTGTAGTTACTAATAAACATGTTTAATTACTTCAGAAAGTCTCTGCAGCACTTGACAATACAAAAGTGCATGTTTTATCTATTTATACATTCAAAATGTTTGCAACCGTGAAGAAACTTTCCATATTCCCAAATGAAATGTATTGGGCATCTTGAAAAAACATAAGTATTGTTTCCCCAAATTGTCATCAATATGTTGAAATCATTGTTATAGCCCAAATGTAATTCTGATCTAAATTTCATGTTTGAAGTACTGCTTGAATTTTAATTAGAAACAAAATTTAAATAAAAAATTGTAATGTTTTCTCTCCCCTAATAATGTGTTGACATTACTTTTACACAAACTTTCCCTTTTCCGGGGTGTGGGTGTTCTACACACTTTAAATGTACTGTAAGCTGCAAGATTAAATCACTTGGTCACACTTACAAATCAACCAAACCTAAAGTGATTGTTATGGCCAAATAAGAAGTTGAAACACTTGTCTGCCATAAGACTAGTGGTTATTTAGCTTACAGTGTAGACACATGGGGAATTTGGAAGGGTGAGCAATGAGCAATACTGGCTTTTAGAATTATAATGTATTAACTTCATTTGAAAAGGAATAATGAAAGAACTAACTCACTTCTTGTGTGGTATGTAGCCAGTGGGAAATGATAGGAATTCATAGGACTGTATCTGTTTTAGGATACCTGACCCTCCAAAATCATCCCTATACCCAACCTCTCTTACTTGCATCATGGTATCTTGTAGCAGTTACATGGTTGAGGGATTCCCTGCTCCCTGTACCCACAAATGCAGCACTGGAAAAGCACACAACCCTGTTGTAGTAGCCAACCATTCTTTAATTTTCCAGGAAGCTTCTGTCATATAGTAGTCCCAGTGCACATCTGAACTAAGGTATGGCATGGATGTAAAGATAGCATCTCTAGTGTAATACATATGTACACTGAATATAAATGCAGAACGAGCCCCTAAGACTATGAATATGGAGGTTTGTGCAGGATGCATTTGGCATGATTGTCTCAAAGGACTGCCTGTCATTGCAATCAAGGATACTTTGCAGAAAGTGTAGTCAGAGAACAAAGTTTGGGTCAAGAAAACTTTCTTTTCTTAGAAAAGGAATCCGGCAGCTTTATGTGCCGCAATGGTGACTATCATAGGGTCAGTTATTGCAACAGGACGATGAATGACTTCATATAACCAGGACTGTGCTAGGGAGAACAGGAACTTTCTAGGACCAGGAGTTCTACGTGAGCACTACAATCTGAAGGCTTTTTTTAGCTACTTGATTTGACCAATATTTTGTTTTTTAAACTGGTCAAATGCAATCCTATATAAATACCTACACCAAACTATCCCAACAAAGAATTACCTTATTTTGTTGACCAACCTTCCAATCATAGTTGGAAATACATCATTGGTAATGTCTTGAGCAATACAACTTAGTACCCATTTTTACTCAATACTGATATAAAATTTTATCCCTCAGCCACAAACCAATACATTTTAAACAGTGTTTGGAACAGGTTAAGATTACAATGCAGAATCACTGGATCTCTTTTATTACAGCATGTTTGCTAAATTTACAGCAGATAATAAGCTGGGTCTTCCTTGAGCAAAACATTGATGTTTTAAAGTAGTACACAATATTTTAAAAAGAACATATAAAAATACCCTTTTAGAAGCCTCTATAAGAAAGGAAATACAAAGTTTATTTCCACAACTTTCATCTGACCAGAGCTGCACAGTAACGCTACCATTTTACACTTTGTTTTAAACTATACATCAGGGGAAAGTCTACAAAATTAAAGGAACGCAGATATAAATGATTGCATAGCAGAACGTTAACTTTTAACAGTAAATGAAAGTTAGAAATACTATCAAATATACAAAGGTTCTAGAATCACCTCTTAAACATTCCACAGCCAGAATTTTAAAAGCCAGCTTTATTTAGAGTGGCCGGTTAGAACTAAAATTGAAACAAAACAATTCATCAACATTCAATTATCCTACCAAGCATAAGTGGAGGGTCTTTAAGTGTTTGATACTGGCTTTCACATTTGAATTAAAAAGCTATGGTTTGTAATACAAGAGAGCTCTCTGCAGAGAATACTTTGAGATTATGCCATGGCAACTTTCATGTTCAGTTCTGATACTGTATTACAACAAACCAAAAGTAGGATGCAACTCTTCTTCATAGGGATGAAGAAGCTCACATTATGATAAACTATACTGGAACTGGATATGCTACATTGCAAGTGGAGCACAATTTATAATCACCTTCTGGGTAAACAGACTAGTTTAACCTACTGTGATGTAGGTTCTGACATGTAAACTCAAAACTGTCAATTATAATTATTAAAGATAGGAGACTAGAAATTGGTTCTTATGGATACACAGCTACCTATGAAGTCATTGGCAAAAAATATTCATTCTTACATATCGTACACATTAATCTGAGATGTTTTCTTTGCAGTTTTACAGCAAGTAACCCTATGCAATTTAGAGGTCAACTGTTCACTAGATAACAATACACTGGATATAAATGTATACACATTCACCTAATTATGTAACTAAATATTTTAGGTGTCAATATAGTAGCCGGCAAAAAGTACCTGGAACCTTGACAAAATCCACAACAGTCTCATGGCTTTTATCTCCTTTTTACTATGTTACAAGAACCATCCCTTCAGATGTTATCAATGAGAATCTTAATACTATTTTTCACAATGCCCTAGGAACGAGCCACCTTGGCACAAGTGGGGAAGAAAAATGCAAATCCCCTCCCTCTCAAATGTCAAAGTACTAATTTCTGATTTCACAGCAGTTACTAGTGCATCACAACTGCACAGTTTTCCAACTGTGCTGCAGGGATTATTGGACAATTTAAATATACATCAAACAGTTATTGTTGTGGGTGAGTTCATTAGGACAAGCTGTAAACTACTGTCATAATCAATGTGCCATGATATTTGAAGCATAAAAATGCAAGCTCTTTACAAAAATATACATAGAAACACCACAAGAACCTCAGTAGCTGCCCATGACATTTAACAAGTGGACTCTTTTGTATAAGATGCTTCAAATTGTGTTTTAATAGTATTAATTGTCTTGCTAACAGGATAACTGACGAAAGTTATTTTATGCAATGTTGCAAATCATAACTCAACTGTGTAACTGGATAATACATGCCTTAAAAAACAAGGTACATTGTTAGTGGCCACTGGACTTGGGACTAGCCCATGACCTGGATCTGGATTTTGAATCTAGATCTAGAATGCGATCTCGACTGAGATTTGGATCTAGCTGGTTCTTTTTTCCTTGATTCTTTTTCATATCTTGAGCTGGATTTATATTGTGTTTTAGAATCCGTTTTAGAGGTGCCTCTAGATTTAGTGCGAGATGCAGATCTAGAACGTGATTTAGCCTTCATTTCTTTTTTGGGTGATTTAGATCGTGATCTTGAATTGGACTTTGACCTTGAAAAAGATCTGTTACGGTGTCTGAACCTATCAGAAAGAGGAAGATAATACATTTGAATATGGACAAGTTGCTAGGAGTTGGTATCTCACATCAAAATAGCTTACTCTTGCAGGCACAGACTAGTCTGATTTTGAATTTGTTATATAAAAGAATGTTTACCTATCATTATCTGAACGACTTCTGCTACGTCGACGTCTTCCAGCAGGTCTACTGCTAAAAAGGTACATCAGAAAAAGTAAACAGTGGCATATACCTTTAAAATTATTCACACACACCCAACTACGTTAAGTTTCTTGAGAGTTGCATTTGTTTTTCATTTTTCTTCAGTGATGCACAGACTTTTGGATGGTCCATGCAAGGTACAACAACTTCCATGCATGTTATTACAAAGGTGACTTGATATCTAGAAGTGTCAAACAGTCAATATGATCTCTCTTCTCCATTACATGGCAGCATAGGTCAATCCAAGTACAACACTTACTTTCTAGGACTATAAGATCTGCGATAGCTGTAGTCAAAAGAGCGGCTTCTTGACCTCCTCCTTTCGTAACTGCGGCTTCTAGAACGTCTGTATCTGTCATAGTCATCGTAACGGGAAGAGCTGTATACATTTCTTCCTTCCTTGGCTTTCATTTGGTTTGGTGCTACAGAAGAACAGAACAGCAATTTTTTAACGTTACAATAAAAATTCTCAGTTGATGTTTGTAAATGCAATACATGTTAATCATTAAGTAACAGACCCCCTGAAATGACTTCCCACCACCAAAGGATCTTCATCTCTGAAATGGAACAATTTAAAAAACATACTGTCCTGTCATTTCAGTTTATTTTAAGATATATGGAGGGCCAAATGTTTCCCATCCATAATCAACAGCAAAAACCTTTCTATAGTACTCAATTACAGTAAGTTATTGTATGCACACTCAAATACAAGATGTTTATATGAATATATTTTCTAGCTGAAATACACATGCACCGTGCAGAAATTATCAGAAAAATATGCAAATCAACTTTGCATCCTTTATTCGGCATCCACCATTCTAGTTTATGATCTGCACTCTTCTTGACAAATGAGGAAGAGTTGGACTATCAGACTTGGGCCGATACTAAGTTAGTTCTATTAACTTCAATAGGTCTACTTTTGAGTATTGCTGATATTGGATCCAACCCACTAGCTTTGCTTCCAGGATTTTCTCCTTGCCTCCAATCATACACGTTAGAACCTTAAAAATGGCAAGTAGCACTCACTCCATCAGCTGTTGTGAAAGACCCAACTCCATCTGGCCTCCTCTCCCTGGGAACAGACATTCCATCAGACTGTCTCAGTGGAATGGATAGGAAGCAGGGTTTAGTCCATCCACTTTGCTGAATGCCTAGCTCAATCAGGGTTTCCATAATATTTAATAATAATAATTCTATTATTTGTATGCCGCCCATCTGACTGAGTTGCTCTAGCCATGCTGGCTGGCTCCCAACAGAGTATTTAAAACACAATAAAACATCAAACATTAAAAACTTCCCTAAACAGAACCCTGAACTGTGCCATCTAGTCATTAACAACTGTTTAGGAATAGGTGCTTAAACAGTGCCTCTTCTGCTTTCCTCCATGTCCCTTTCCCTTTGTGTCATTTTTATTTATTTAGTGTAAGCTTGTGGGTCTTATTTATGTATTTCATGAAATTTATATACCGCTTGTAGAAAACACCCTCAAAGTGGTCTTGTTTTAATTTACTGTACCATTCACAAGCCATTCTTGGAGCCTTGTTGGCTGAAGATTGGGACAGAAATGCTTTAAATATTCTAATTTATTTATTTCACAGTGCTAAACCCGCACCAGTTTTTGTCTTCTTCTGACAAGTCTGACAACACATTTAATACATAGCCCTGAGTATTAGGCTTTATGTTTTACACTACACAATTGTTAAGACAGCATACATACTTTTACGATCTCCTTGAGCAAACTGGATTTCTATTTGGCGGCCACAAATCCACTTCCGGTCCAAATTATGAAGGGCATCTTCAGCATCACGGACATCTTCAAATGTGCTAGATGTTAAGGTACTTGGGAATTTGATGTATTTACAGCTACACAGTTAGCAAGCTTTGGCTTTCCCATAATGTCATCACACACCCTTGTTTACCAACTTGTCCTCATTTTTTGGCATGTTCTATGGCATAACAAAAATTAGCTGACATTAACAATATCTATTTGAGACAAAAGACAAATTTCAGTTTAAAATAATCGTTCTATAGTTGTCTATATGGGTATTTCTAATATAGCTTCTCTGAAAATCTGTTTTGCTTCCCTCAGCAGAGACTCATTAGAAGACATCAAAATGTTGCTTTTTGCTGATGAAACTAGTACTAGATGTTTCCTAGATTCTTATACAGTGGAACCTCGGGTTGCAAACGTGATCCGTGCGGGAGGCACATTTGCAACCCGCAGCGCCGCGTCTGCGCACGTTGCAATTTGGCGCTTCTGCGCCTAAAGTAACCAGTTCCCGGTACTTCTGGGTTCAGTGCGGTGCGCAACCCAAAATCGCATAACCTGAAGCGTCTGTAACCTGAGGTACCACTGTACTAAGGTTTTAAAGCATGAAATTATACCAAATTTTATTATATAATGTAATAACCCATATCCTGCATACCTCTAAGTAGCCTAAACAGGTTGTCCCTATACGTTCATATACCAAATCCTCAGAAGCCAAATTTCACCCTATTACAGGTATACTCATCTCAAATAATGAGTGATTGCATTTCACTGAGAACCATAATTTCAGAAGATACTTCCAAAGTAAAGCAAATTATTACAGGGCCCACAGCTAGACTAAACCAGAAAAATTGATTGGTTAATCACTTACACAAGCAGCCAGAGGACAGCTCTTATTCTGTAGGATACATCAGGTTTGGCTCCTTTTATCTTGGCCACCAGTCAACTTCATCTTGACCTTTAACTCTTTAAGTGCTTGTCAGAAGGACTTGTCATGAGATGCTTGGTCAAAAGTGACAGATGGCTTTATCTTTATACTTTGAAAAACAACCTTTTCCCCCATTTGCAGATAAAGCGAAGCTTTGTCTCCCATTATGGCTTGTCCTTCTTCCAGCTTTTTCTTTATCTTTTCTTTTCCCAAACTTTCCCTTCTCTTCAAGCCTGATCCTTAAGAGGTCTTTGGCTTGTCTACTTGCCTTAATTCTTGAACTCTACTCTAAAGGTTCTTTCATGCTTTCTCTTTGGGGTCGCCATTACTGTACAGCTTTACACTCTGAGGCAACAACAGAGGACAGTAAATTAGGGGACAATAATCAGAGCAAAACTTTTCACCTCATTTTATACAAATCTGCTTTTGATCAAATTATTCCAGTTTCCATGAAGTTAAACAATAAAATATCAGCCACATTTTGCTAAGCACAAGAACAAGTTTATCAATGCCAGTGATATAAAACTGCAACGATACACTTGGAGGCAGCAGCAAAGGCCATTTCAATGTTAAAAGCACAAATCTGTATATGAAGCTTGCAATAACAAAGCACATTTTACTTGATGCAATTTAAATTTTAACTTATAGAAATTTTGCAACATAGTCATCTGTGAGGGAAATGGAGCACACTACAATGACATTATATACAACACAGAAGAAAACAGCTTTTTCATTTAGGGTTGTTACCTCATACACAAACGTGAATTTCAAACTTCAACACCCCTCACTAATCAGCCATCTGAAGAAAGGATATTGAACATAAGCGAATCCTCTTGGACGGCGAGTGTAGAAATCCAGAGGTACATACACATCTACTATCGGACCGTAACGACCAAATTCACGACGTAAATCTTCAGACCTGAAACAGAACACTGACCATTTGAATGTCTTTACTAATATAATCAAAGCAAGCTGAGAAGAAACAGGCTACATGAACACATACTTAAGAGACAATTGCCAAGCCACTATTTGCACGTGTCCCCAAAATCTGCTTTGGAGAGGAGTTTTTGTGTGCAAATGGAACAGTAATGTTGGATACAACCCTAAGGGATCTATCCAACTAAGTTAGGCTTAGAGCCACTGAAATTGATAGACCTATTTTAGCTTATGTCCACTGTCCAATAATATCAATGGCTTAACTTTGAGTGGGATTCATGTTGGATACAACCCTAAGGCTACAAATTCCATGCTAACTCAACAGGGAATATAACCCACTGAACATAGTAGAACTTACTTTAATGTGGGACTGAAGACTTTTTTCTTAGCATTTTGTGGTAACAGTCCATTCCCAAATACAAGTATATCAAATCATTATTAAAGTGTATCAATTAGATGAAAATATTTTCAAGCTTTTTTTTTAAAAAAATCTATGCTAAAGTGTCCGTCAAGACTTTTAGGAATTATTACAGAATAATAGCGGATAAAAAAAGCAAAGGAGCACATCCACCATCGCCAGGAGCTATGAACTGCTAACTGTAAAATACTTTAGAGTTGTGTTAAGGCCTATTGAAACAATGTACTTTAGATACTGAAGGAAACGGAAACTGAAAACCTAAAAAATTGTAGATTTGGATTAGAGAAGTAATTAAAACATAACATCCCACTAGATCAGGCCAATTGCCTGCCTAGTCCGGCAATTAGTTCTCAGGGACCAACCAGATGCCTGTAGAAAACCCTCAAGCTGGAAAACCACAAAGTACTCTCCCTTCCTTATTTTCCAGAAATGGGTATTCAGAAGGATACTTCCTCAGAGACAGAGTATAGCCATCGCAGCTGGTTGAAAATATAGGCAAAACCATCTAACGAGGATAAATTCCAAACAGAAATTAGATGGTGCCATGAATAGAAAAAAAAGGTAGACGAGATTCAGGTGGGGATGAAACAATATAAAGAGGGAAAACGAAAGAGACAAAAAGAGGACAAGAGAAGAAAAAGGACAAGAAGCGCGCGCGGCGGGGGGGGAGAGAGAGGAGAAAAAAGAAGTCTTTGAAAATAAACGCTGCTGCGATAGGGTTTTTAACATTAATTTGTAAGCTACTCGGGGGACTGTTCCGGCTGAAGAGCGGAGCCTAAATGCCTATTTTCTTATTGTGTTTTGCCAAGTCACGTTTGGCTCCAAAAGGGAAAGCTTGAGAACAACACACAGAAGTTCAGCGGCGCTTACTCCTAGGGAACCCGCGTGCTGAGACCTCAGAACGACATTGGCGGTTAAGCGCCACGGAACAAACGCGCTGAACTGGGACGTGAAACTAGGGGCATGGTGTGCAGAGGCCCGACGAAGAGCACACAAGAAGCGCGAAGAGAAGACAAATGGCGGGAAGGCGGCTCGCGAAGACCTCCGCCGCGAGCTTTCCCCCCAGCTTAAACTGAGGCCTGGCGCATTCTGCATAATGCCTATGGGGAACGGGAAGAATCAAGAGAGCTAATGGCGGCGGGGGGGGCTCCTCTCTCTCTCTCTTTCTCCGCGCCTCCGCCAGCAGGCCCAGCCAGGCGGCTGCCATGCCCTCTCCACCCCCCGCCTCACTTACACACACCTGGTGTCATCGGCCACGTTCCGCACGAAGAGCGAGGTGTTGGGAGGCCGCAGGTAGCGAGACATGGCTCGTCCGGAGGCGACTGGCTCGAAGGGAGAGCGAGGCAGAACGCGAAGGGAGGTCGGCGAAGCGACCCTCCTGACGAAAGAGACACGAGCAGAAAGCGCCTCAGGCCAACCGCCTTGTGCTGACCTCTCGCGAGACTCGAGCCGCGCGGGGCGGCAAGACTGGCGCTCGCTCACAATAGGAGCGGAGGGAGTGCGAGCGCGCAGGCGCCGGAGAACTTTCGCCGGCCGTCTGCCCTCGCGGGGCCGTATGCGCAGGCGCCGAAGTTTCTCGCGTTCCCCTCCCAGCTCCACCCATTTCCTTCTCTTTGAGGCCTCGTCATTTCTTATTCAAGCGGGTGCTCGCGGAGTACGCATGCGTATCTGTAGAAGTAGTCGCAAGACTGTGGAAGCGAGGGGCTCATTTCCCTGCGTTTAAGGCGCGCGTTGTGCTGGTCTCTTCGGGGGTCGGGCTGAGAAGGTTGCTGTTGGCCGTTGGCCAGGCTTTCATTCATCTGGGCACTACCTTGCAGGACACAAAACCTTTCAAGGATACATTTCTACGAAAAAAATATTTTCGTAATCTTTTGTAAACCTTTATTAGGTTGCAATTTATAAAAGGTGACCTTTAGAGGTTCTCTCTTCACATAATGCTCATAAGCCCTCTGCATGGGCCTAGCGGGGGCAGATGCCTGCCTAAATAAATAAAAATAAATACAAATCCCCTGCCCCTCCCAACAAAAGTCTGCCCCCCCCCCAAATCCTGGGTATGCCCATGGCCTTCTGGTTTCATGACATTGGTACAAACTAACTTGGATCCCCTGTATGGGAAATACACACTGTTCAGAGACGCTGTGCCTGTGGTTTCACTCATTGAATAAAAAATAAAATAATAAATCAGGAAAATGCCCTCATTGGTAAAGTGAAGGCATTTTCTGTTGGAGCAATACTCTGCATATCCTGAGAAGCCTGTAACCACTTTTGATTCTTTCACACGTAAAGCACTGTCCAGTAAAGCCTGCAGCCTGAGCGGTAATTCATGCAATGATATCTTAGGACAGTGTGTTTCTGAGGCTTGCCAGTGGAAATAGAAAGATGGTGGAGAAAACTACAAGCAAGGTACTCAGTGCTGAGGCCAATGTAATGATTAGTGATTCTATGGCTACAATCACTTCGTAGCAGATACATAAAAGTGTTGCTAGTACATCACATAAAGGTATTGTGCCAAAGGTATACAGGTAATGAGTCAAGTGAATAAAGCACTTTGGAGTAGAAGCCTAGCTAATGTTTGGCTTGTGTATATTTAAAAAACCTTCAACCAGATGGCGTTATCGCAAGTCTCCACATGCCATTATGCTTCTGAAATATGATGCTGCCAGCTACAATGCGCTTGTTTTTCAAACCTTTAACGTCCTGCTCTTGCTGCTAATTATGTTTGGAATGCAGTGCCTTAAAAAATACATTTTCACTGAAAGTTTTTTTATGGTGCAAGTTACATAACACAAAACAAATCCAATAGGATAACAGTATACTTCCCAAAAAAGTGCAGCAGTTTTCAAACCGTGTTTTAGGGGAATCTTAGCATTCCTTTTGTTTCTCTGACAATATACACAACTTACATTTAAAGTGCATACCCCCTGGCAAAGAGGCATGGCAACTAGTTCATTCCTCACAGAGCTACGATTCCCAGCACCCTGGGAATTTGGAAGGGCTGTAGACCAGTTGTAGTGTATTTGCTTTGCATTCAGAAGGTCCCAGATTCAATCCTCAGCATCTCCAGGTGGGGTAGGAGAAACTCCTGCCTGAAACCCTGGAGAGCTGCTGCCAGTCAGTGTAGAGAATATTGAGCTAGATGGATCAATGTTTAGGTCAGCGGGAGGCAGCTTCCTCCATCTCCTTAACAAGTTTCCAGGTTTCTTTGAAAATGGGGGAAATGTGCTTTAAATGTATGGTGTGTATATGCACCATACATACAAGGAAGCTTAGGATTGGTTATAGCTTCAATTTCTTTAAATACTTGTTTCTGCTCTTATTTCAGTCTACCAAAGTGAGTGGCAAAAGCACGTCCAGTTCTGAACTTCAGATGGCAGCACAACCTACGGTACTTTTGTTTTTTTCAGTTTTATCTGGGGTGCATTTTTCTACACTGGATGCCATGCCTGTGCATGTGTTTGCATGTTTACAAGACTGGTGCTGCTGCTTTATGGAGGAATTTAAGCCAAGCTGCAGCAGAGCTGTGCATTCGACCCACTGAGATAACTTTGCTCCGCATTCCTGGGACTGACCTTGTTCCCTGCAGATACAGTAATCAGTGGCTGACTGTACTTTGCTGTCTGCAGCTCAGGGTTGCTGATTGCTAGTCTGCTAGCCCATTGCCCTTAGTAAGCCTCTGGTATGTGTTCCTTTCACAGCTCTTCCTCCCCGCCCCACCACTAGCTGTTCAGCACAGCTTCATCAGTGTCAGATTCAATTCTGTTTGTGTACACACCAGAGGGCTTTCAAGGGTGTCTCCCCTGTGCAAAATGAACCTTGGCTAGTAATGAATTAGCAATGGCTAACCCAATTGGTATGAAGCTGCTTGTTGTGCTTCAGCTTTAAAGAGCAGGTTTTCACAGGGAAAGCTCTGGGCGAAGGAGAGCGCTCAGAACTGTAAGGCAGGGAATTCAGTTGGTTAGTGTGTGGTGCTAAGAACTCCAAGGTTGCAGGTTTGATCCCTGTAAGGGACAGCTGCATAGCCCTGCATTGCAGGAGGTTGGACTAGGATGATCCTAGGGTCCCTGCAAACTATGATATATGACACATGCCTGTAAAGAGCAGGGCAAAAAGTAAGTGTGGATAAGCCCTTTGTCTAGTCTTTAATGAGCATTAATTCTAATTTGTTTATGGGGCAGTTCTATCAGCATTCTTCTTGATTTGCTTGCAGGTTGTTTACATGTCTTCCCATTCGTCATTCATCCACATCTTTCAGTGCATGCCCCCGTCACTCTTCAAACTACAAGTTATTAAAAGATAAATGTGGATTTGTTGCACTAGGGGAAGAGAGTTGTTTAAATGCATTGACCCCAGGTTCCAGTTTGTGCTGGAATCACTCACATAAAATACTGACCATCTGGAAGAACCCTAGGTCCCCCGTTTGTCATTTCCAGTGGTGTTCCAATTCTGTCTGGTGTTTCCATTTAACATTGTTGCTTTTAAGTAGCACATACCCCAAGTTCAAAAGTTCTCCAAACAGTTTGTGGCAAGTGCTGAAAGACCGTCCTTGAATGCTTAACAGGCAGGCCTGTCCCATGTTTGTTCCCACTCTATTCTGCCCAATGTTCCAAATAACTATTGTGATTACTAGTAATCAATGGCCCTTGGGGTCATAGAAGCATAGAGTTGGAAAGGACCCTGAGGATCATCTGGTCCAACAATATGTAACTATCCCATATCTGCTATCCATCAATTGGTCTGATCCTTGATTATTACTTTTTAATGTCCCCTCAAAGCTATTGACTATCACAACTTTTCAAAGGAGTGTTTTCCTCTATTGGTTCTGAATCAACTGCCAGTTAACTGCACTAGGTGAATCCGAGCTCTATTACTGGGGGCCTCAGAATGGACTCCAGTCAGAATGGGATTCTCAACTAAGCTCATAACTGTGCAAAGAGGGGAAATAGAGTTTCCCCCAGTGCAGCAGAAAACACTGAAGTCAAAAGCCTGCTAAGGAAAACATGGATCTTTTCCTCATGGGACAGCAAATATTTTATATGTGTGTTGTGTGATGCCACCAATCAGCTTTCTTGCTAACACTCTTGTTGTTTTATAATTCTCAAAGCTTTATTTGTTGTTGCATATCTCGGCCAGTAGGAATAACATAGCATTGATTAAAATCACATTTTGCTTAAGGGAAGTTATGCTGTTGACGGCAAAGCATAATCTTCCAAGTACTGCTTTTCCACGTAGATATGGCCTCTGCGTATGTGTGTCTTCTTAAGGGAATATGGCAGCCAGCAGTGCTCCACCAGCTGTCACTGCAGCTGTGGTAGCAGTGGACAGCCCAGCAGCACCTAGAAAATGATTAAGGCACACAATTATTCTGATGAAGATCTCAAGGTGTGGAGACTGGCTCTGCCAATCATGTGGTTCTTCTCCTGAGAGCAGCAGACATACCGACTGACTGAAGCGCGGCAACAGCGCTCCCAGCTGCTACTCCTCCACCATTGGCGATGGCCGCTGCCGACATCATTTTTGCAGCCAGAGAGCCAGCTGCAATTCCAGCTCCAGTGAAGCCTGCTGCTCCCAGTGCTACTGGGACAGCAATCGTGGCCACTGCTGCAAGAACACAGAATAAGGTATATGTTACATGATAGAAGTAGGGGAACTGACTATAATCCATCATCATCATCAAACCTTTTATTGGCATCACATACAAACATCCAAAACAAATCAATACAGAATTAACACGTCCCCAGTGGCACAAAACATTTGCTAAAAGAAAGGAGGCAGAGCAGACTATCATCACATCTCTAGGTCTCCAGGGAGATCAGACGTCTGCAGTGTATTTCAATGACAAAAAACCAAATAGATATATTTAGCCACTACCGGTAACTTGGTGAGCTCTTGATCATTCCCCAGTAAAAGAAAATGTATGAACTCCAACTCTGGTTTCCATTTGGGGATACAGAGTTGATCTAGAAATTGCTAAAGGAGATCAGCATATAGTTTACAATGAAGAACCATGTGTGTAAGGGTTTCCACCAGGTGATCTTCACATGGGCAAGTTTTTTCTCCTTCCACCCTAACTGAGAAGCTTCCGCTGCCTGAGGTTTGATGGATTTGAATTAAACCTGGCCATTGAGAATGCCCTTTTTCTTGAGGGTTAAGCAGAAATTCAAGGTAATTGTGGTTAGTTTCATGTGCCCAAGAAAGTTGAAAATAAAGAGGGAAACATGTTTCCTCTGCTGCTGCTGTTAGTTCTTGGCGTTCAATATCCCACAACCTAGGAAAATGGTAGGGACATCGATCGCAAAAGTTCCACTGACAGCCTGAGTTGCAGTACCTTCTTGTTAAACTGTTGTAGCCCTGGGGAAAGAAAGGGATCTAATAAAATATCGCTGAGGAGAGGATCTTTATCTGATGTAAGGCAGATGTTTAACCAGGATAGAAGAAATCTCGCCCAGGCGACAGCCTCTACCTTGTGTTGACCTCCCTCTAAACACAAGGCTCC